AAAAAATGAAAATATAGAAAGTATTGTTTGAAAAATTATTAAGCTTTGTAATAGTTTTGTTAAAATTTTATTGGGTTATTAATTTTATTGTGTTTAGTAAGGAATTGATGTAAAAAAATTAGTATGAAAAGTAGTTAAATAGACTCAATATAAAAAAAAAAAGTTATAAGGAAACTTTTTTACTATTAAAATATATGAGAAAAAAACTTTATATATTGAGAATTGTGTAATGCTCAAAATGCCACTTTCTCCTCTTTTTATTATAATATTAATATGCAAAAATATATAAGAGAAAAAAATTTAGAAAACTTTGGGGGAATGATTTTGGCCAAACCCCGATTTAGCCCATTAACTTATAGATTTTAAGGTTATTGGCCCCACCTAAAAAATTAAGGGTATTAGTCCCTCAATGATATGATTTAAGGGAATTCATTCTTATTTACCATATTTTAATCTCACATCATTAATCAAACATCATTTTCATCTTAATCAGGAACACAATTAGTGTTTCTATTCTATAAGGCATGCTACCATTGCAATCAATAAAATTTTCTCTTTCAATATGATATGAGCTCTTCTCTAATAAGTTAAACTATCTATTTTTGTCAAGATTCTACATAATTTTTTTTAAAATTATTTTTATAATAAAATATGACATTACTGCAATGATATATCACGTAGAATAGAGATAATGAATAAGTCATTGATTAAGATAAAAATAACATTTGACTAATAGTATAATATTAAAATCTATTAAATAATGGTAAATTTTTTCAAATCATACCGTTGAGAGTTAGTGCCCTTAAGTTTTAAGATTTTAGATGAGAAACTAATAACTTTAAAATCTAAGTTAAGGGGTTAAATAAGGAATTAAGTCGATTCCCCCAACCAAACACCCCCTTAGGAAAATAAATGCAGTTGGCATTAATTCTGTATCAAACTCTATTTTTCTCCAAGCCAAATGACATGTAATATAGAAATATCACAGTTTACTTTTATTGAAATTGAAAAATATAGAAGGATAAGTGCTAAGATTTGTAATAATTAAACAGTATGCAGTCAAAGTTCAATGGTTGTTGATGTCTTCCTTTCAAACAAAAAAGCTAGATTTTAGAAAAGAGAGAAGCTTGTTTCTGCGAGTTAAAGGATGATGGACTAGTGGTCTGCAGCGGGGGAGGAGGAGGACAACAGGAG